TTCGAGGACGTTCTACCAACACTGAAGGCTAGCATACTCTCATAAGTATTATGAGTTTGGACTATTCTAATAGTATCATTTACATCAGGAGTTAGGGAAGATTTCCAAAGCCTTAATATGGAAAGTTTATCAGCTAAGGAAATGTGGGTTGTTAATTGTCTGAAGGTTGGGGGTATAGCCACAACACCTAAATTTAAAATGGCCAAACTAGGAGTCACAGGTATCAACAATCCTGTAACCTGGGAAAGAATATAAAATATTTCATGCCAAAAAGTGTGTGAAATTGTGCCCAATGATTACAGCCTCTCCAACAATGATGAGATAGGGAGTGGATAAACTTAGAAACACAATGTGGAGTGAGGTATCAATGTACTATAATTTTGTGGAAAAGTTTACAGAGATTGACACTTTTAGTTGATATGTATACATATTTTAAAGCCTTCTACCATTGGGCTATAGAGTATGAAGCATCCAAGTCAAGATAGAAGCCAACTTTAGAAAAAGTTTATTCATTAGGAGATTAACAAAATAGTGAAATACCTCCTCTGCATTTAGATATTGATGTGTCCAACTCTCAACGAAGCTTACATTGAAAGGGTGGGTTTTTCTGAATATAACACGTATATAAGATGTATATAAGACATATACTATAAGGCATAAATATGTGAAATAGTCTGAACGGGGTCAATTTTATTCAGTTTGTAAAGCTTCAAAAAGACGTTCGGGAAGATCCCACATTTAAGTCTGTAATCTCTAACTTTTTTCATGTTTTGATGCTCTGAGCACTTCAATTGCTTCTGTTGTGTTTAACATATGATTATTTGCCAACTGGGGATGCAAGACCCCAGACAATTGTGAAGAGGCATTTTTTCTAAGTGACAGCTTAAGGCATCACTAATGGAGGCGCAATGGCTAGCAAATTGCAAAGTGTTAGCAGTCTGTCAAGATCACTTTAACACTTTGTTGGATATGCCTGACAAAAAGATGACAGGCAAAAACAGAAAAAAAAGGTGAGGATGACACCAGTGATAATGGAGTAATTTGAGTTTTCACAAATGTTCACTTAGATCAGTCAATAACTTGAATGCATGTTTACTTTATTATATATTTGCCATATGTTTACTATTCTTGTCCTTTGGTCTGTATAGAGGAACAAAAGGAATGCATCGAAAAAGGGACAGCAAACATAAAGGAAAAATAGTCCTTACAATCCAAATTACTATGCCAGGTCCTTCAAACATTTTTCACAGACACATCAAAAACAAACACTAATGCCTTTGTGCACTTTACCTTAAGATACTTTCCATATATGTAATCAGACTGCCACTGTTCTGTTATTACCTCCAACTATCCAATAACCTGTTTGGTTTAGTATTCTTGGTATTGGTGCACAGTGTGGTATTTAGCTACAAACCATAATACCCCTTTAATTGTCTAATCTACCCAAAAGTGGTGTTTCTGACATGCGAGAGTTCATCAGGTTCGATGTCCTCTAATTACTTTCCAGGATTTAGTTGGTCAGAAATTTCCAACACCCTTGGACTTCAATCCACCATAGGGTATTCCCATTCCTTGTGTGTTCTATATAATGAATACATTAAAAATCTGAAAGAAAGAGTGGAAGCCACTTATAATTGTGTTAAAGGTGTGAAGGCATAGTAATTAAATGATCTCAGCTGTACCATCACCAAGGGTAATGACACACTGATGTTTTAAACATTAACAAAACTTCAGTTGGGATGGACTGGCCCTTAACCACTTGCCCTCTAGCGGATTTACCCACCTTTCTGACCAGGCCACTTTTTGCGATACAGTGCTGTGTTACTTTAACTGAGAACTGCGTGGTCATGCAACATTGTGCATAAATTAAATTTATGCCATTTTTTTCCCACAAATAGAGATTTCTTTTGGTGATATTTGATCACCTCTGCATTTTTTATTTTTTGTACTATAAACAAAAAAAGAACAACAATTTTGGAAAAACAAAATATTTTTTACTTTTTGCTATAAAACATATCCGATAAAAATTTTTTAAAAATCAAATTTCTTCATAAATTTAGGCCAAAATGTATTCTGCTACATGTCTTTGCTAGAAAAATCCCAATAATTGTATATTAACTGGTTTACATGAAATTTATAGAGTCTACAAAATTTATACAGTACATACTGGAATTTTTCTTTTTTCTTTTTTTATACTAGTAATACGGCAATCAGCGAATTATACTGGGTCTGCGAGACTGTGGCACCATTCTGACACTGGGGGGGAACTGACTGTCACTTGACATCCCCAGTCACACTAATACAGTGATCAGTGTCATACTAATGACACTGGGCAGGAAGGGGTTAACATCTGGGCGATCAAAGGGTTAACTGTGTGCTGTGTATGTTTTACATTGTGTGCTATTTTACTTGGGAAACATGATGCTTTGTAGAGAGATACAAAGCAGCATGTCCATGCTGGCACAAGAGAGACCTGTGTTGTTTACACACAGGTCTTGCTCCTGTCAGCCTTGCTGACAATCACTGAGTGAGCAGGGAATCATCAGTTGGAACCCGGCGATTGACACCCCTAGCTGCCAATATCGAAGTGGATAGAGCGGCGCGCGCCTCCCTACCCAGAAACGCAAATCACGCATATATATGTGATTTTGCGCAGCCGTGCTGCCCTGTAGCAGTACTTGTGCTATAGGGCAGGGGGAAAGTGGCTCTGTCATGTATAAAACAAAAACAAACAGCTGTCAGGTTTAAGTCAGGAGTAAGTACCTCCATACACCTAAAGCAGCCCCTAAGTGCCACTGATAGGCCCAAATGCTCTGTTTCTGATGGACAAAGCTTTGTCCCTTCCTGGTTATGTTTATGCTTACCCGCCTTCAACCTCTCCTATGTATTCTTAGTGGCCCAGTCACACAGCCCTTCAAAATGATGGACTAGTTTGAATGTATTAAACACAGGCGAGAGCAGGCAAGCTTCAAACACTTTGAGAAAATGGCAGAGACTTTCCCACCATAACAGCCGACTATTCAAGCATAATGATAGTGGTTTGAAGCTGCTGCAGATATGTTCATCTAGGTGGCTTTATATCTGACACTAGTTCTTTTCCATATGACAGAATGGCTTAAAAGCAAAAACAATTGCCTGGTTTATAATTATTCAGAATAATGCTTTGCTTGAACAAAAAACCCTGAAATCATCATTTTATATAGTGCATAAAACAGTAGTCAGTCTAACAAATATAATAAGATATCTCCCACCTAACCTGGCAGAAAAAAAAAAAAAAACACGAGAAAATTGTATTAGGAATAGAAAATGTTTCTGAGAAGTCTGTCAGTGCTGCACAGAATGTGTCTTCATTAGCATACATTTCCTGGACTCTGCAGTCCTATGGTCATTGCAGGCTTCATTTTATCATCATTATGATACACACTGGGTAATCCCTACTGACTTCTACTATTTCATTTATTTACTCAGTTTCGACTATATGTCCACGTGGGAGTGAATCCATCTTACAGCATAAGTCTATGTACATAGGTGAATGTATTACTCTCTCAAGGAGCGACATTGATGCGCTATACCCAGTTCTGCATAGAGGATGTGTCGCTATTAGATTATAGCTGTGTGCATATATAAAGGAGGACATAATGATCAAAAAGCAGAGACATATGATTGATGGATATATAGAACATCAACCAGATAAACATTTCTCCTGAGATTTACACCAGCAGGAAAGAAATAGAATTGAAATTCAAATAAGTGACCAGACCTGATACTGATATGATGAGTAAATTAAGTTTTTGTGCTATCCCATGGCACCACTGAGGAGTGTATGACAGGAATCTATATGAAGACAGCAATCAACACACTTACAGTATCATTTGAATGTCACTGTCTTTAGCCCTGAAAGGATCTCGATTGCCTCCAGACTAAATTAAAGTTGGGTAACACATTCATGTTCTTCTATTCATTGTGCTACATATCTTTGTATATGGAATAGCACTATGAGTAGTTATTTTATCTTGTCTTCATGATCTTCTAACAAAAGTATGAAAATAGCACCATAATCAAAAGCAAGGCATTAAAAGGCTTTGTCATGTGTCCTAATTACAACAACACCCCTAAAAGCTGTTATTTATATCTTAATCATTTTTTTAGGGAACAGCAGGTACAGTATGAACAGGTACCAAGGTGATACAGGTGTGCTTCTCTGCATTCCAGTTTTTTAGAAGGGCTGGTAAATAAAGGGAGATATGGTAACCCATGATACAGATTTGAGGGTTTAATTATGGACTTTGGCATCTATGACAAATGGGGGTTTATTTACTAAAGCTGGAGAGTCCAAAATCAGACTCCCTTCTGCATAGAAACCAATCAGCTTCCAGGTTTCATTGCCAAAGCTTCATTGAACAAGCTGAGGTTAGAAGCTGATTGGTTTCTATGCAGAACGGAGTCTGATTTTGGACTCTCCAGCTTTAGTAAATAAACCCCGTGGTGTCCTTATCACACGTGGACTTTTTAAAGCATAATTTTAGGCAAAGCATATGCATTTGTAATATGAATCTCCATTCCTTTTCTGGAGAAAAATGAAACTCTTGGATTTTCCACAAACACGCCAATAAAAAACCCATTACCAATCTATCCAAAGAAAAAAAATAATTATATAATAAGGCCTTATTGGAATATGATGAATCATTTTCTACCTATCTCAACTACTGTACAGCTGGATTTGGACTTTATGATGCATTATTGCAGGGGTGGCGAACACGCGGCTCTCGAGCCGTGTGCGGCTCCCGGCCAAAATGAATGCGGCTCTTTGCCTCTTACTGATGACCTTTGGGGAGGTTGGGAGCGGGTACCTGAATTTGACAGGTACCCGCTCTTACTTCTTTGTTCTTTGATCTTACCTGTTCCTCTATCCAGCGGCGCGCTGTCTTCTTCCGGCTTCTGTAGTGTGGGCACTGGGCATGACAGCCGGGTGCCAAGTGCGCATGCGCAAGAAGCGGTGCTTTTTGTGAATGGTAAGGCGGTACCTGGGACACATGACAGATCCCAGAAGTCGCGGGACCAATCACAAAGCGCAAGTGCTTCTCGCTCATGCGCACTGGGCACCCGGCTGTCATGCCAAGCGCCATTACAGAAGCCGGGAAGACAGCGCGCGGCTGGATCGAGGAACAGGTAAGATCAAACAAACAAAACTCTGCGGAAGTAAGAGCGGGTACCTGTCAAATTCAGGTACCCGCTCCCCACCTAGTGAAAAAAGAGGGAGAGAACAATGTTCTTGGACAACTTGTCAGCCAGCTTGCTAACAACCGAATTAACCTGTCTAACAGTATGCGTTTATAACAGGGGTTTAGTTAGCACACACATTTGCAAATACATACGTAAGCCACAGAGCCACGACACGGCAACCCTGTCATCTGTGGTGCCTCCTACAACAAACTCTAAAATTGGTGAGTCCCATAGTAGAGGCACATGCATTTAATGGATAGATCAAAGGCAGTGGACCTGAGGGAGCCACGACCTCTTAAAGGCAAAGGAGTGCACTGGACCCCAGCATGTAGCACAATGGCAACCAGGGTCCTAGTGCACCCAGCGTACCAAAAAATCAAACATGCATAAAAGTGGCCACCCGCCCAAAGTCTATAACTGGCTTATGAAGCAAGGACACATAAACGCATACTGTTAGACAGGTTAATTCGGGTTGTTAAACAAGCTGGCTGGCAAGCATCTTTTCCAAGAACATTGTTCTCTCCCTCTTTTTTCACTATGTGATGCCTTGTTTGTGTGTCCTTGCTTCATAAGCCAGTTATAGACTTTTAATGGCGGGGTGGCCACTTTTATGCAATGTTTTTGATTTTTTTGGTACGTGGGTGCACTAGACCCTGGTTGCCATTTGTGCTACATGCTGGGGTCCAGTGCACTCCTCTCTTTGCCTTTAAGAGGGGTGGCTCCCTCAGGTCCACCTGCCCTTGATCTATCCATTAAATGCATGTGCCTCTACTATGGGGACTCACAAATTTTAGAGTTAGGACCATCAGGGTGCCGTGTCGTGGCTCTGGCTGGCTTACGTATGTATTTGCAAATGTGTGCTAACTAAACCCCTGTTATAAACGCATACTGTTAGACAGGTTAAGTCGGTTGTTAGCAAGCTGGCTGGCAAGTTGTCCAAGAACATTGTTCTCTCCCTCTTTTTTCACTATGTGATGCCTGTTTATGTGTCCTTGCTTTCATAAGCCAGTTATAGACTTGGGCGGGTGGTCACTTCATTTCATGCACCCGCTCCCCACCCCCCCACCTCCCCAAAGGTCAGCACTCATCTGTACTGTCCGCAGTCTCTGGTCATCCCTGTGCTGTCCGCAGTCTCTGGTCATCCCTGTGCTGTCCGCAGTCTCTGGTCATCCCTGTGCTGTCCGCAGTCTCTGGTCATCCCTGTGCTGTCCGCAGTCTCTGGTCATCCCTGTGCTGTCCGCAGTCTCTGGTCATCCCTGTGCTGTCCGCAGTCTCTGGTCATCCCTGTGCTGTCCGCAGTCTCTGGTCATCCCTGTGCTGTCCGCAGTCTCTGGTCATCCCTGTGCTGTCCGCAGTCTGTGGTCACCCCTGTGCTGTCCGCAGTCTCTGGTCATCCCTGTGTTTTGTAAGGGGAAGAAAGTGTTATGGTGAATAATATGGTTTTAATTATGTGTTTTTTGTGTGAGTGTTTGTCTGTTTTGGCAGGTCACTGCATGGTGTGGCTCTCTGACTTTCACAGTTTAAAATTTTGGCTCTTTGTGTCTAACTTGTTCGCCACCCCTGCATTATTGCATGCACATTAAACTGTGAAACCCCTCATCTTGTTAAATAACTAATTTCATCTAAAATAGAAATGAAAAGTAAAACCTTTATAGATATATAAAACATAATAAACACCTTTTTCTCCTATTTTATAAGTGATCACATAGCCTCTGAGCTCCTTATGCAACTGAGAACAGATAGCTGGGGGAGCAGAAACAGCAGGACATTGAATGTCCCAGTGAATGGCTGTTCAGGAAGGGGGGGTGTCAGCAGAAGTCTGATCATTGGAGGAGAGCACATTGAGTTCTCAGCACAGCTAGGAAACTGGCCATAGTGTTTTCCTGTGCCAAGTGTAGTCAGTTTTTTAATAGGAAAGCAGGAACCCAAAGATTTCAAACAAAAGAGGTAATACAAAGAAAACAGGAAACTTTTTCATACAAGTATATGATACAGCAGGCCCATATCAGCACATTGAGTTCCCAGCACAGCTAGGAAACTGGCCATAGTGTTTTCCTGTGCTGAGTGTAGTCAGTTTTTATTAGGATAGCAGGAACACCAAAGATTTCAAACAAAAGAAGTAATACAAAGAAAACAGGAAACTTTTTCATACAAGTATATAGTACAGCAGGCTAATATCAGGAATCTGAAATGCTGGATTTACATATTCTTTAATGTAGTTATGCCACTTGTTAACCTGTGTTGCCATAAGGCAGTACATTCATTTTAATGATTGGAACTTACTTTCACCATTTTTTTCCAGTGCACCTAAACCCATGGTTCACATCTGTGCATTCTGGTGTGCTAAACACTGCTCCTTTTTGGTGCATTGCATTTGGGAATGTGTGTTGAGGCACTGCAGGGAACAAACATGAGATACCTGTGCTCAAATCCCAACAGCTAGTGCATGCATTTATCCATCAGGTGCTAAAGGGGTGTAACCACATATTAACAGCTTAAACATGTATTGCAATATGTGTGAACTAAATATCCCTATTTATTGCAGAGGTACTGCAGGGAACACACCATAAAACACATGCTGCCATAATGCAAGGGCATCAATCTTGCCTATAGGTCAACATTATTCAAACTTTCTTTTCATTTTTTTTCACTTCAATGTTTTATTTATTTTAAATGTTGCATACAGTACAAGTAATGGTAAAAACAATTTGCAAGGCAGTATATCTCATCTGAATGATTACAATGTAAAAGCACAGAAGACACAAATTATTAAAATATTGGTATGCATTATGCAGAATAAAAAAAAAAAACTAGCAAGGAAAAGCATCTGTTCTTCATTGTTGTGCATTCATTCAACAAGAATTGAATAAGAACAAGGTTCTACAATCTAGTGGTACAGAGCAGTAAATTGCATGGCTACAAAATTAATCCACAAGAAGATTTCACCCGAGTCCACCAAAAGAATCAACCTCTATACCAGATCATTAAACTGATATGCAAATATAAATGACAAATAAATGGCATCTAGGGGAAGGGGGATAGAAGAAGGAAAGGAGAAATGAAGGTCAGGTAGGGGCGTTTGTGTTTCTGCTGCCCCCCCCCCCCCCTCAGATTACAGGGCTTCCCATCACTAGGTATTAATAGGTAAGTGTAGGGAGAGGTAATGGGGAGAGGTATAGGGTTTGTCAATAAGAAACCATAAATTTCCACAGAACCCACTTTTTGTGTAAGTATGTAAGTTGTTCAATTATGCTGTGAGATATTCCATATTATGGACATCATGAATGTTTTTATATAAGTCTGTTTTAGGCAGTCTTGGGGTGTCACCACTTCAGTGCCATTAAGCAAGTGGATAGAATTGCCAGGGTAAATGTACAGAAAAACCCTGGACTGTGATAGTAGTACAAATAATGTTATACTGGTTATCTTTATGTAGAGTGCATAAGGATGTTGCATTGGTGTTACTAAATATCTTGTAATTCGTCAAGTTCTAGAGTGGAACCCACTCCCATTTCAGCATATATTTATATTTAGGAAAAGAGTCATTGGTAATAGTAGTATTTAAATATCTATAAATGCCTGATATCAAGCACTTGCATGAAGGACTTTCCAAGCAAAGTTCTTCAAAAAATACTAGGTGGAAACCATCAAGGTTTTCAGGATGGAATGAGCATAATGTCCAATTTGAAAATAACTGATTAAGGAATTAGATGGTAGATTTAAAGTGAATTGTAGATCCTGAAAACAAGGAAGAGTCTTGTTGTCCTTGTGGATAATGTCTTGAAATCAAAATTGAGAATTATGCAGCCAATTATAACCCACATGATGGTTCTAGTGGGTAATGTTGATGTGTAGAGAAAATAGATCATTGGGGAGGCTGTATAGGATGGGTGTAATTTGTTTTTACAGTATAGCCATAAAATAGAAAGGTTGACTATAAAGTTAAATAGAAGGCTTCAAAACCCCCTTGGGATTCTGAGGCAATGAAAACATGTCTAGCTACTTTTCTAGCTACCCTAATCTTTGAGGACAATCTAATTTGGCAGATTTTTTCTAAAGGTAGACTAATCTGGTTACAAGCATTATTGTGATAAAAGTTATTTTACCTATCTGGATTGTTGGAGATTTTTTTATTTTTGACGAAGATTTTAAGTTATTTTTTCTGATTTGAGTTTAAGTGTCATCATGTCTTACACAATTAAAAAGAGCTAACTCTCTACCATATGGTCTAGTACGGAACAAACATTTGGCAAAATGTGACTCCATCGTTTGATTAAGTAATGGCCACAGCATTTAGACAGAACTGGAAATCCTAACAGAAATAAATGAAAGCAAGTTAGTCACCTTTCAAGCAAACAAGCTAAATTGAAAAATTAGTTCCATATGGAGAATACATATAATAATAAGATGCCCAATGATGAACAGTAAAAACACCAAGATCCCAACTTAATCAATTTTTCATCAGTAAAATAAACCTACTGCTTTGATCATTCACTGCAAAATCCCTCAATTGAAATACATACAGTATGTATATTCTCTCATCCTTTAAGCTAAGACAGAAAAATACACAAGTTGTATAGCTATCTAGCTACTATATAACTGACTGATTATGCAATAAAACAGAATGCACATTGTTAATTATGTTAAATTTCAGAATATCGCAAATATTGAAAATCAATATACAAATACCGCACATACAAACATTTCCGTTTTTAATAACTCCTTCAAGTAAAAAGATTATTATGCAGAGAACACTAAATTCACAAAACGCAGTTTAACTAAATTAAATAGGTATAATAAATGAAATGTAATTACATTTCAGAAATTGCCTGAGGAAAATGTATGTTCATGTACCAGCAGTTATCTGTACATTTTTATGTATGTCAATTATTCAGATATATACATATAAAGATATAGATTAACAGAATTATAATTAGTTACATCTCATTTATAATTTGTGCAGGAAATTAAAATATGTTGGCCCATAAAAAAAAAATATATATATATATATATATATATATATATATATATATATATATATATATATTGCAAAAAAAAAATTAAAGAACCACTTTTTAATCAAAGTATAGCATCAAGTCAATTAAACTCATGGGACATTTATCTGGTCAGTTAAGTAGCAAAGGCTGTTGTTAATCAGTTTCAGCTGCTTTGGTGTTAATGAAATTAACAGCAGGTGCACTAGATCAGCAAAATGAGACGACCCCCAACACAGGAATGGTTTTACAGGTGGAGGTCACTGACTCACCTTTTTGCATTTGGCTAGGGTCAGTGTTACTACTGGTATCATGAGGTGATACCTGATCACTACATCACTACAGAGGTTGCACAGGCAGTCCAACGCCTCCAGGATGGCACATCAATACGTGGCATTGCCAGAATGTTTGCTGTATCTCCCAGCAGAGTCTCAAAAGCATGGAGGAGATTCAAGGAGACAGGCAGTTACTCTAGGAGAGCTAGACAGGGCTGTAGAAGTTCCTTAACCCATCAACAGGACTGGTATCTGCTACTTTGTGCAAGGAGGAACGGGATGAACACTACCAGACCCTACAAAATGACCTCCAACAGGCCATTGGTGTGAATGTCTCTGACCAAACAATCAGAAACAGACTTCATGAGGGTGGCCTGAGTGCCCAAATTCTCTAATGGGCCCTGTGCTCACTGCCTGGCACCATAGAGCTCGATTAGCATTTGCCATTGAACACACAAACTGGCAGGTCTGCCACTGGTACTCTGTGCTTTTCACAGATGAAAGCAGATTCACCCTGAGCATATGTGACAGAAATGAAAGGGTCTGGAGAAGCCATGGAGAACGTTATGCTGCCTGTAACATCATTCAGCATGACCTTTTGGTGGTGGGTCAGTGATGGTCTGGGGAGGCATATCCATGGAGGGACACACAGACCTCTACAGGCTAGACAATGGCACTCTGACTACCATCAGGTATCGGGATGAAATCCCTGGACACATTGTCAGACCCTACGCTTGTGCAGTGGGTCCTGGGTTCCTCCTGGTGCACAACAATGCTCGGCCTCATGTGGCAAGAGTATGCAGGCAGTTACTGAAGGATGAAGGAATTGATACCATTAAATGGTCCCCACACTCACCTGACCAACATCCAATAGAACACCTCTGGGATATCATGTTTCGGTCCATCTGACGCCACCAGGTTGCACCTCAGACTG